TATATATATATATATACACTTATAAGTCGAGTGACCACTGTTATCAGTCTGCGAAGGTACCGAGGGTGCGCTGCATCGGTCCTTGTTAAACTATTCTACCGCAAAAGGGCTGAGTTTGCACACAGGTCATCGGGCTACTGAAGCTGGGAAGCCATCAACGTTTCAGAGGACCAAAATTGGGATGCCATGTCTTTTGATTATCCTCATGGATATTTCCCAGACAGTCGCCAATAGCCAATTGTGTGCAGCTTTAGGGCAACGCAAATAAAAAAAGTACAGTTACTACTACCTGCTTCAACATTTTATGCACGGATTGATCTTAAAAATAGCATTTCAAATTACCTGCTACCACGTGACTTATTATTTTTCATATAGATAGCTGACATTCATTCGCTTACTTGAATACTGTCAATTTACCAATGATCAATCAACTATTATATTGTTGTCCTATACGGAAGAAGACTCATCTGATTTTTATTGTTTTTCATTTTGCTTTTATTCTGGTTTAGTTTTGTTTGAGTTACTTCACATAATTCTCAAGCAAGAAGACTGCTTCTATTTTTTAGAAACACTGGAAAACCATGAAAGAAATAAGCCCTTTAACAAAAAAATTGCTGCAATCTTAATCTAATTGGCTTTTATCTCAGTTTCCCCAACCAATACGTCAGAATTCAGAGTTAAGCCTTCGTGGCTTGCCAACAAAAGCTTAGAAAAGTATTCTTTTTCCTAAGCAAAATGGTCGTAACTATGAATATGTCTTGCTAAATAAATAATCCCAAAAAAACTGAAGGTATTATCAGATTAAAAACTTCATTCGCTTCAAAAATATATGAATAGCAAATAACGGTCGATTTGTTTCAAGGGCTTCAATAAAAAGTGTCCATTTTCAAGACTTGCCAGGCGTGAATGTGAGAAGACTAAAGTGATTTTAAATAAATAAAAAAGTGTAAAGTTGCTAACGAAAAATGGAAAATAAAGGTGAGAAACAAAACTAGAGGAACCACAGTAGCCGAGAGAGAAAAAAAGATAAAAAACAGAACAAGAAAAACTACAGTGGCCGAGAGGGGGCAAATCTGGATGTGACTGTGGAAATAACTTTAGCATTGTCAAAAATTCAATTTCGACAACGGCGAACTTCCTTAGTTTTGTAGCAAAATTTTTTAATGTTCACAATATTTAAAAATTTGTTTAAAAAGAAATCCTTACCCTTACATTGTGAATATCAATTGCTTTTTTATCATTTAAAATTTTCAAATTTCGAAAAAGTGGGCACAGGTTTTGAAAAAGCAAAAAACGTCATAATTTTATCCTATGTTATGTATAGACGCATTATTTTGTTCCAGATTTCATAAAAGACATTGGATATAAAAAAATAGAAGGAGAATTTGTAACTCGCAAAATATGGTCAAGCCTGATAGATTCAAAGAAACGCCACGGAAGAAGATTTTCAGAACGACTCTTTCTGCCAGCCCTACCTACCAAGGGCCTTTTAGACATAACGAACCCCTGGAAGAAGCAGAATTGGAAAACAACTCTACAGCAGAGGAACTAATTGAGGAAATAGTAAGTGGAATATTTAATTGTCAGGGAGGGTTTGATTTTTTGCGAAGTTCTTTCGCTAAGGATAAAAGAATGCCACAAACTCACTTAAACTCAGAATAATAATAATTCTCTTAATAAAAACGAAAATGTGCGTGGAGTCCCTCCGCGCGGAAGAAGTTAAACTTCGTAATGTGGAAATGAAAATAGGAAGGGGTAGAAGTTGATTTTTAGTGAAATCATATTGTTTCTTTTAGACAAACTTTATTAGCAATGCTTACAATTCACAATTGATCGCATCTTTTAATTATCATTTTCGAGTGGAGAAATATCCAAATCTATAACATTTACAATGAGATTATAATAACTAAAGTAAGATACGAAGTGTTTGAGTTTTATTTTTTCAATATTTCTTGCAAAAACTGCATCAATGGTAGTTACCCCCTTGGTTGTTGGATCATTCCTACCATTTATGATTTCCAATCCAAATTTGTCTTTAAGGAAGGTTAATAATGTTTATGCTTCAGGTAACGAGAAATTCACATTAAAATCTCCTGCAAGGATCACATGCCGCTCACAATAATCAATTTCTTCACCAGTAACGTCTGCCAGAGTTTGTGAACCTGCAGTGGATAGTCGTGGCAATAAAGATTTTGTAATAAATAATTTGATATCCCTCATGGTTGCATTTGGTGAAATATAAATGGCAATTAGAAAAGAGAAAACCTAACAATCAATTGATATTCACAAGAGACGTACCTTGACATAACCTTAAATCCGTCGCATTGTCCGTGGGATTGTTTTCACTCATTTCTTACAACTGTTATCCACTAAGTTTGAAAATAAAAAATACTACCCTATTAAATTATATGTGTATCAAATCAAACTAAAAAAATATTTATAGAAAAACAATACTTTTATGACTTTTATTATTTTTATGCTAGTGAGAACCAAAACAATATGGAAATGAATGAGGGAAAACTGGATCCTACCACGTGATTTCCCGGCCAATAAAAATGTAGCGTTAAACGTTTAACGCAACCTTGTTGGAAGTTGCATAAGAAGTATAACTTCAAAAAATTTATATATAAGAAATAGACAAATATTTTTTATCATTTTAAAACTTATTTGACTGCTTATGCTCTAATTTGGTTACATATTTGCACCTAGACAAAAAGTTTAAAAAAATTTTTTAGCATTCGCATCTTTTTTTGGTGATTAAATTTTTCATTTTAATTATAAATTCTGTCCAACAAGCGAAATTTCTAGTATATTTTTACACAGATAATCGCTTTCTGAAGCACACAAAAAAAATTAGAAATATTATTTTTAAAATTATTAAAATTGTACGAATGTTGTCCAATATACTTAATGGGCTTAATTTTAAAGAGATAAAAGACATCTACAGAGAAATTACCAATTAATTGATGATCTGTCTGCTTCAAGTGTTTCGTAACAGTTCGATCGCTTAATTTGTTAACATCTCACTAGAGCTACATTAATATGAAATACTGAAATACTGACTAATACTGAAAAAATAACTGCTTATAATGCAGCATAAACATGTTTAACATCTTACATCACCTGGACACAATGACATAGTAACGTGAATTAGTTAAGTGACATAGTGAAGTGACAACTACTTTTAACAATACGTGACTTTTATACAATTCACTAATGATATGCACACAGAATAACTTGCGTTATCTTCAAAAGAAAATATACCTGTTGCCAACACAAGACCGAAACTTAATTTTGTTAATTTAATTTGCTTAAAGGAGTAATATACCCTTCCAACACTCCCAAGATGCGCATTTTTATGGATCTAAAACCACTTGGGACTTTTACTAGAGTAGAGTCCGAATGCACGATTGGAAAAAAGTGCAGTGCAATCATACATCTTGCTTTTCACGTGGTATTATAACCTCCATTTAACAGTAGGCAAAGATTTAAGTCATATCACCGCCATAATAATAGCGTGTTTTGGGTTTACTTTTTAAATTATTTATTAAAAATTAAGCAAAAAAATTATTTTTTCCTAACACTCCGCATCCGAAGTATTAGACAACATCACAAAAAGAATTTAATATTGTTTTGTTTTTTTCTACTTGTAAGCCTTTAAAAAGCAAGTGTCTATATTTTGCCGTCGTTAGTAGGAATGTTTTATTGTAATAAAAAGCTAACCGCCGACGGCATCTACTTTGATCATCTTTCAAAATTATCTTGTGTAATGTACAAACTTTAATGGTAACCATGCCGGATACATAAAATAACTGCATTTCTAATGCTTGAAACTCTTCTCCAATTTTAACACCATAATTAGTTTTAAACAATATATAAACCTTTTTTTTTTCACTAGAAGCTGTTGCCCTCACGGATGTACTACTTTAATTTCAGTTATAACGGTTTTCAAGAGACGTCCATGATATTGTCAAAATTCTTCATGTATTAAATTTTAGAAATTATTTCAAATCTGTTTCGTAGCCATTAAATCACACAAAACATCGTAAGTATGAGTTCGGGACATTTCAGTATAGTAGACAGCAAAATTATCTCCTTTGTTGTGAGATTGAAAACTCATCCCAATGTTCCATTACATGCTATACTTCTTCCTCGCTCACCGCTTGAGCCATAACTTGAGTATCGTATCTGCTATTACTCGAAAAAGGCAAGCTCCGTCACCGATAATTGGTATGACAGTATGCGGCACCATAGCACGTATTTATGTTTAAAATTTCTTCAGCCATTTTACAAGGGATCAAAAATGAATCTAAATAATTACTTCGTAACTAAGTTTTATTTTTAAAAAAACGCAAAATTATTCTAAATAAGTACTTAACTTATTACTAACTATTTGACACTACTTAAATTACTACTTAAACAACCGAAAAAATTAATCTAAATAAATACGTAACGTATAATTAATTTTTTTACACCAATAAAATTATTATTTACAAAAAACTAATATAATGAATAATAACTTTAGTGTTACCAACAGATAGAGAAATACTTGAGTTTACGGTGCCACATAAGAGAAATATATACTTATATAGATTGTAAACAAAATAGGTAATTTGGTTCAAATAACCTTTCAGACAGTTTTATGGCAATCATATAATTTGAGGCTGGCGAAATCGTAATGGCCAAAATCGTAAAGTTATATTTTATTAGGTTGGGTAAAAAGAAAGAAATTATTTTTACGCGAACTTCAAGATTTTATTTAACGTGTTTTGGATTACCAATTTTGGTAAATTATGCGCTGTTTTGTTCTATAATTTGTTCTTCATAATGCTTCTCTCATAGCATTTAGCATGAGAGCATAGCATTGAGCATAGCTCATAGCATAGCATGGTCGCTATTAGCAAAAAACTCTAGTAATCAATTTTCACAATCTTTTCCTGATGCCAATTTCTTATCACTAAGAAAGTTTTGCAATGCAAGAAAAGTATGGTAATCGTTTGGTGCCCGGTCTGAACTATATGGACAGCAAACCTCTTCAACCAAGCTCTCGGAATTACTGATGTGCCACTATAGACGTATGTGGCTTGGTCATATCCTGATGGAACACGACACTTCTCTTGTTGACCAATTCTGGCCGTTTCTGTTTAGACGGTCCAGTTGTTGACAGTAGATATCGAAATTTATTGTTTGGCCATATGGAAGCAACTCTTAATAAATTATTCCTTTCCAATTCCACCAAAGGAACAAAAGAACCTTCCGACCCGTCAGTTCTGGTTCTGCCACCGTTTAAGCTGCTTCACCCTGCTCTGACCACGCTCGTTTTCGCAAAAATGTGACCTATTTCCTATCACCATCAGTTGACGAAATGGATCGATTTCATTCCGTTTGGCCGAGGTTTCGCGAATGGAAATCCGATTCATGGTGTTCTTCTGTGTAAATTGGTGCAGCACCCATATATCAAGCTTCTTTTTTAATCTAGTTTAGTGCAAATGATTTAAAACTGCTTCGTGATTGATCTTTAGCTCCTGGATGATGCAACAACTGTTATCATGCTGCCCAATTTCGATCATTTTTGTGATTTTATCGGAGCATTTTCATTTCCATTTGAGAGCAAATTGATATGATTAAGAATGACTGTAGATTAAATCTAAAACGGATGCATTCTCATTGACTCAAGTAAGATTTGCACCAGAAATATTAATTACATTTCCACTAAACTAACTATAGAAGTAGTTGCCAGGAATCGCTGCAAACTACTCTTTTTCATTTGTCTTCTTTTTTCTTCTTTTTTTTTTTGTGTGTGTGTGGCACTATTTATTAAACTATTTGTTTCTTTGAAAACTAGCGCATTACACTACAAACTACAGCAAAAGTAGCAACTACAGCAGTTTTGCTACTCGCGCCTTCCAACAACTGTTCTCTAAGTATTGTAATTCTTACATATTTCAAAATAAAAATTACATTTTTTGGAATTTTTGACCATTCCCTCACAGGATCTAAGACTTTGAACAATCCCTCGCAAAACCTATCAGAAAGATAGAGGAATTAAAAGCAAAATAAGGCCTCCTTTTACTTCTACCATTCTCCTTAGATCAATCAACTGGTTTTTATGATTTTTATCTTCGCTCTGGTCTCACAGTTAATAATGATTTTTCGTGTCTTATCTCTTAAATGGTTACAGCGATTAGCATTTGTCGTTTAAGGCGTCATAAAGGTCACTTTTAAGAGCGTGTTTTTATAACTGTTTGCTTATTTCATGATCTTAAGAGTATTCACACCAAGCTGCCATCCATGAAGTATTCTTAATTTAAAATTTTTAGACTTTTCTGAAGAGCGTGATGTGACAGAAAAATATAGAACACTTTTTGTAAAGAAAGATAACTAATTACAAAATTTAGCAATTAGCTTGGTACAAAATTTAGTAATTAGCTTTTAATTAGCTTGATATTTAATAGCCTTATTTTCATAGCCTTCTCTAAGTATTTTTTCCTTTTCCCATATTTTCAGGAGAGATCCAGTATTTAAACAAATATATTCCTCTTCACATTAATTTTCTTTTACATTTTTAGGCAAGAGAGAGAGATGAATTGGATGAAAAAAGAAAAATGCAACCAGAAAGGTAAAAAAACGTTTCTATTTTTTATTTTTCCGTTAATTTGAGAATGTTTTCTTTTTTCTGGCCATAATGCAAGAAATTTTTCAAATCGACTCCCCTGATTTCAACAATTATTTAATTTGTGAAAAACCTTCAGCTTACATTCTATCTTTGAATAATGTTGCAAAGAATTTGTTCAATCTAATTTCTATGCTTTTAAATTGTAAGCTTTACTACCACTAAAATAAAGCATTTAACACTGTCTAGATCGCATTCTAAGTACTAAAAAAACTTTTACATTGAAATTTGAACAGAAATTAAGTAAAATATATTTTAAATCATCAAATGTATATCAGTCAAATTTTTTGTTTGTATTTTCTGGGTAGACTTTCATAAATGCCACAGCATTTCAGGTCACGGGTTGCAAAAACTGGAAAAATTGGATAATTGCTTGCGACGTCAAGCCAGAGTTAACCAATAAGTTCGACACTTAAATGTGACGTCACTTTAATTAGATCCAATTAAATTTGATTCTAAAATTTATTCAGCATGATAGTAAACTCAAGTCTTAAATATATAACATCAACATATCATGCACAACCTCGTGATCAGACACAATCATGTAATTAGTTGCTCTTTTGTCGTTTAATAAGCTAGTATGGTTTTCAATTCTAGCTAATGTACGTTTGATAAGACGTTACAAAATATCTTTCCCTCTTCAGTATTCCTTTTTAAATTAAAATTGATACCAAGACAGTAGTTATGAGTAAGTTAATAAAAATATAAAATACTTAAGCTGGGACAGTCTGGTTGGCAGAGCGCTGGACTCACATTTGTGAAAATGGGAGTTCGAATCCAGCCGGCAGAAGATTCCAAGCGTAGTAAATGCAGACCAGTGCAAGTTAAATTTGTCGGATGTTAAATTTGTCCTCCATGTTTCAATAACAAAATATACCTTTGCAGGTACTGAATTAGAGATTGATCATTCTCTAATTCAGGTCAAAATTATGATCTTTGGATGAATCAATTGATGTGAGAATGGGTCCACCCTATTAAACGGTTGTGACGCATGAGTGTGGCAGAATTCGAATTCTTGGCCACAGATGACCAAGAACAATTGCACCCCCTCTTCCTTAATGGCTGACAACAACATATAAAATACTTTAAATTAATATTATGTAAAAACCTTAAAAATGCACGCGGATGAAAATAAAGAAGAAAAAACTCGGTCTAAAAATTAATCGATTTCAAAAAGTTCCTAAATTATCCTCGGCTCTTATTTTTTTTTTAATTTGATCTTGAAATGCTGCTTTTTTAAAATGCTTATGTTATCCTGATTTTTTTTTACTCTAACAGCTCTATATTTGTGATTATGGCGTTGAAGTTATTCTGGTCGATGAGGTTAATTTTATCGAAAAGAGAGGTTATGAAAAACCTAGAACAACTTCCATTTTCCCAAACAGTGATGTAGTTGGAACATTTAAAGATATTTTTTGTCCATTACGAGCATATATGGAATAAATGCAGTAGTTAATTATATACTTAACTTCTCTGGAATAATTACAGTTATTCTACAGTAACAGCGCTCCTGCATTGAGGTACCAAGTCAAAGAAACATATAAGGTGTGGCGTATATTTTAACAACTTAATTTCCAAAAGCATAAAGGTTGTTTTAAAATTAGTTCTATATTACATATAAACTGATTTCAGACGTACATTAAACCACAAATATTAGTATGTACTTGCATTCTGCAGGGTTAACCCAATTAGTCCATAATGTTTCGAAGGACTTTTAATTAACAAGTATACAACATATAAAGATGGATCACAAAGTTTCTGGTGCTGTTGTTGACGCATGCCTGTTTAGGCAGAGGAGGTGCGATTGTTTTTATTTTCCAGTGGCGCCATCTATGACCAAGAATTTGATTTCTGCAACACCATATGTCACACCCGTTTATAAGGCGGACCCATTCATACGCAGATCGTAATTTTGACCTGAATCAGAGAACGATCGATCTCCAATCCAGTAACCCCAGAGGTATTGATTTGTTATGGGAACATGGAGGACTTTTGCGACTCGACAGATTTAACGTGCATCAGTCACTTTTACTACACGGGGAGTCTTCGGCCGGCGGGGTTCGAACCCACAAACTCTCGGACATGGGACCAGGGCCCTACCGACCAGGCTATCTCGGCCTACAAAGTTTTTGGTACATACCATGAATAATCAGGGTGTGCCCTCTTAATTAATCTCTTCGGTCATGATGCGAATGGTGAATCAGTTCCGTTCATGCACGTTCTACAGCAGGTGTCTAACGATATCCCTCGAAGTAGGACTGATGAATTCAGGAATAGTTTGTCTAAAGTAAGATCTCCCCCAGCCATTCCTCTGGATCCTTGGCAGTGACTATGGTAACGAGGTAAAACTATTTCAAGTAGGGGTTTGGGATCACTGTTTAGGATAGGTTTTGGTCGGCGAGAGAAAGAGAATCTTTTTCTTTGGTCTATTGCGTTAACTTTAGAGTGAAGAGAAGCTACCTTCCCTGAAATGAGCTATCTTGTTTCCATAGCAGCAGACGGCCTCTTTTGTGTCTTTGTGTCGGGGGGAGTTCTTACAGTAGACAAACTAGAGTGTTATTTGTAATAAGGGAGTTTTTGAAAACCAAAGTTGATGTAAAATGAGCAAAAAACAAACGGATTACCATCGATAACTTTTGATCTAATAATCGGATCTTCACGTTACAGGACTCTATTTTTACGGTTCAAGGTGTGATGTTAAAATTTGATAATTAACTAGTGCTGACTATATTTAAGTTACGAAATCAGTCACAAAAGCGTACTTTCTCTGAATAAATATACCTTTTATTTCGATCGATTCGGATTTCTGACTTAAATATCGCGGGTATCCTCAATGTGGGAAATATGGTCCACATAGTTTGGTCAGAGGAGCGGACCACCAAAATTTTGATCCTTTAATTTTACTTTTTGCGTATTTCGCTATATCTCAAGAACTTTATAAACAAATTGAAAATTTTTTTGCTCACAATTATAACATTTGTTTATCCAAAGATAAAGTTTCGTGAGTATTTATTACTTTTCATAATTTTATTTTATACTAGTCGAAAAAATTTTGAATTGTAAGTTATACAGTTTTTATATGATTTTAAAGAGTGTAATTTTGAATGATAAAAAAACGAAATTTGAGTGAAATCGGTTGAATAGTCTCTGAAAAATCATATTTTGTAAAAGCCGTATTTCTAAAATTCGATTTCTCAGGAACTATACAGCCAATTTCTGCTCAGGTTTTGTATTTTGCCATGGAGGAAATACATTCGCTAATATGATGTAAAAAAAATGCATACCTTACTATTCAAAAAATTTTCAACTAGTATGAAATGAAATAATAAAAAATAATAAATACTCACTAAAATGTATTTTATGCTTGGAATTATCCGCTGCTAAGCAAATTTTATAATTGCGAACAAAAATTTTTCGATTAGTTTTAAAAAATTTCTAGATATGGCGAAATACGCAAAAAGTAAAATTAACATTAAGGCGTCGAAACATTGAACTGCTCGCCTGAAAAAACTATATGGATCATATTTCCCAGATTGCGGCTATCCTCAACATTTTGGTGGTCAGAAACCTGAATTCGTCGAAAATAGGATGTGTTTATTCATAGAAAGTGCAGTTTTGTGCTGGTTTTCGTAACTTAAAATATTTTCTGTACTAAATTAGTATATTAAAGGTCACCTTCTCAATCTTCTTAAGATTTAGTCCTAGAGCGAGAAGATCCAACCATTAGATCAAAAGTGGTTCGTTTTTTATTTTCTGCACTGTACTCCACCGCCAACTTGTGAAAGACAAAGTTGGTCACCCCAGTGCCAACTTGTGAATGTCAAAGTTGGCTTATATGAATGAAAACTCTTGAAGGATGAAGTTGATGTACCTTAATGCAAGCATGTGAAAGACAAAGTTTTATCTCAGTGCAAACTTCTGAAGAACAATTTTGCCGTATCAATTTCTGCTATTCAAACCTTTGAAGAACAAAGTCAATGAAAATGCTGAAAGACAAAGTTGATGTACCAGAATGCAAGCATGTGAAGGACAAAGTTGATGTACCAGAATGCAAGCATGTGAAGGACAAAGTTTTACCGCAGTACCGCCTTCTGAAGGACAAATTTGAAGTATCAATTTCCGCAACTCAAACCTTTAAAGAACAAAGTTAATGTTCTCCGAATGAAAATGCTGAAGGACAAAGTTGATGTACCCCAATGCAAACATGTGAAGGACAAAAATGATGTACCCCAAAGCCAACTTATAAAAAACAAAGTTTGTGAAGCCAAAATCAAAAGAACATTGCATGAACATAACACTGCTGCTCAGAGCAACCTTGACCGAAGCTTGTTTTTAAACATGCATCGACAGAATTGGTTTATATTGAACTGTTTTACATCGACAGAACTGACCTACATCGGGATGTGTACACTGTATCTGGTGACTAAGGGGACGCACATAAAGTATTTATAGTGTGTACCTGAAACTTGGTGAGTATGTACGCCTTTTCATGTATCATACCACCCTTGCAAGTCATACACTTGTGAATAAACAACATTTTGAAACTGTAGGAATCTTTTAGGCAAATCCTGTTTTCTCAGGAAAATAGCAGTTCCACACCTTAAAATTACACAGAGAAATTTTATAGCTTAAAATTAAGATTCTTTTTTTTCTTTCTTTGTATTAAACTGATCACAAAAAAATTCTCTTATAATATTTTGTTTAGTGCATCTCAACCAAGACCTGCCTCTCCAGAAATTAGAGACGTTGCTTGGTTAATTGTCAATAGAGTACTTCGCTATTGCAAAGGGAAAGAATTTTTCATTTTTGGTTTGATTGTGACTATCTGTTTTGCTCTGCTATGCATTCAACTGGCTCTACTTAGAAGTGAGTATCTTTTTCTTTTTATGTTTACACTGGGTATTATATTAATTTAATGCTTTTATCTTGAGTATTATCTTAGTTTAATGCTTTCGATTTAATTCGTACTATTCATCTAAAAGAGTATCATAATCATTCTAATTTTAATAAAATTATTTTTTTATTCAATTCCTACTATTAGTTCACAGTCTCCCTAGATATATTTATATATCTTGTTCAAATTTTCAATCGTTAATAAAATACTTTTTATGCATCCACTCGATTCGAATACATTTTTTTTAAACTTGTAGTTGGTGGGTGACACTTGATGTTAATATAATTTTTTCAAATATTAATTCATTAATTGAATATAATTAGTTTTCTTTGCTGACCTAAGAAGGAATTGACTTTAATTTTTTTTTTTAATATTACTTGTTTTGAAGAGAAAAGGGATGTGCAAATCAACCTGAGAGAAATAGCCCAGAAGGTAATAGTCAAAATAATTGAACTTGACCCAGGCTTTAACTTTCAAAATAACTGTAAATGCTTCTCTACAATGTAGTAGTTAAGTTGCGTCGAAATATCGGTGAATAGAAATCGATAAGAAATTATTAAGCATAAGATATAAGGGCTGTCCCAATGAAAAGCCGATTGGTGTGATAGACTTGTGTGAAAGCCGATTGGTGTGACTTGGTGTGATAGAAATACATCAGCGATATAACAGCGCCATCATTAAAGTTTACTAAAGAAGGTAGAAGACGTAATGTTAAACACCTCGGATAACTATTTGACCGATTCGCATGAGAGTATTTAAAGTGAATATTAAGTCACATTAAAGTTGGATGCGTCTAGGACAGAAGAACTTAAAGTAGGGTGGTTTTTATTGATAACAAAAGAGTGATTAGCTCTGATCATTCTGCCAAAGGCAGCGATGGTTTCATAGTCACAAGGAAACGCGTGATTGCTTGCTTTAGTATTGGCATATCCGATATCATGATATTATAATTTGTACTTATCTATTATGAAGACTAAAGTTCGTATAGGTGACAACTGGAAAAGCAATCGCCAACATGTCCCTATAAGCGAACAGTACCCATTTTTTTAATGAAAGTGCTAGTAAAATTACATTAAATTCCTTCAATATAATCACCTTCAAAGTTGTGTGCTTTTTACCATACGTCAAAAGTTGTAGGATGTCGTTGGTTAGATATTGATGTCAGTGATGGAGCATCCTATTGTTAAGATTTTCCTTTAGTATATGCCACATCATTTGGTGATTAGGCTCAATGGATAGTGCCTGTAGAATCCATCGACGGTCTATGTAAAGGAGACCACTCGTGTTATCAATTTAATATTAATAAATGGATAGTTGTGCTGTCTCAGACTGGCCAGTTCTAAATGTTTTGTTGAATTGTTAATCTTGGTCTTCCCCTTTTAAGAAAACTTTTGCAAACTTTTACAACTTTTACTCAGCCGTTTTTTATTTGACGTGCTGCAAACAGCGATCGCTAACTGTTGCATTTTGAGGAATAATAAATTTTGACAAATCAATAAAGAGGAAAATTGGTTTTTCAAGATAGTTGTTACACGGCTCCTATCCATAAAACTGCTCCTATCCGCACTTCTCCGTCATTTATACTCAGAATCATTTTTCAAGAACGTAAATTGTTCTTCCACCTAGATCTTCAAATGTTCACATTATTCTTACCTTCTACCTCTAGAACCCGCAATACTGCAGGTTATCCAATTTATTTATTTATTTCTTGATTGGAATTACATACATTTGCAGGCTTGGGTGCTCAATTTAGCGCAATACAGTGAAGGAAATCACGAAGAAACATCCAGAGAAACAGAGGGATTCGAGCCCGCTACCTCCACCCTTTGCACAGCTGTTCGTTTTCGCGGGCAATACCGTTCGGCCAGGGTACCGTTCAGATGCGAAGAGGGGAAAAAAGGAAGGGGATAGACTGACGGTCGCTAATTCGCAACCTGATTTATTTTCACCAGAGTTGGCCCCAAATGAGTGGATATTTTCTGCAGAAATACATTGCGTCATATTTGCACTAAGTGTAACCACCAACAAGCTACTCCTGAACATATACTTCAATGCCTAAATATCTCTAAAGTGCACCTCTTTTCAGATCCACTTTTTGTTACAGACTTACTCAGAGTCTCTGGAGTCATGGACTTGGTTCAGCTCCACTAACCGTGTGGGCCAGCAACAACAACAACACTATAATAATTATAACTAATTGACTTGAAAAGTTTGGGACAAGCCAATTTTCGTACTTATTTAGTTATAGTTCTTTAAGTATTGAAAAACATTTAGATGAAATCGATATTAAAATTGCAAAAAAAAATTTTTTTTTAAATAATTAAAGTATCGTAGAAAAATGAAACTAGGATGGCAAGCCTTCTAAAATTTTCATTTATAGGATAACTGTATTCGTAGTTTGCTAACGTAATTTTTGCTTCGGTATTCTAGATATTTCTTATTAAATCAAATATTTCTTAGTCATATTCATGATTTATTTACTATAGTTTTCTTTTCATGACTTATAAATTCAATTTCTTTTGTATATATTGTATATTTGTATATTTTGTATAAATATTTTAGCTTACAACTGATACAAGCATAAAACAAGCTTTGTGATCAATAAATAATAGTTTATTCATTGATCAACAAAGTTTTCTCAAAACAAAATGCATTGTCAAGTTTATCAATTAATGGATAATGCAAGTGACGTAGTATCGGTATCTCGATTTTGATTGGTCGTTGAAACACGCCATCTGTTTACATCAGCAACTGTTCTTTCCAATCTATTTCGAGCAAGCCAAGCCCGGAAATATCAAATCTCTTAAATGACACATTCTATTTTTTTTCAACGCATATTCTTCCACTATATATTTCTTACTTAACACAAAGACTGGCACAAAGTCGTGTAGAACAGTAAAAAAAAAACTAATAATGCATCGAAGTAGCACGGTACGCAAAACAAGAATATATAACGGTTACAATAAAATTCATGAACAAGCGATAAATCTAAGAAAAGTGAAAGACCTAGAAGAGAAATAATTGTATTTTGAAAATTGGATGTGCGATACGGCTTTGTATTTAATTAATTTCACGTTAATTAACATTCTAACTTACGCGGAGAGACTTAGCTCGACTTTAATAAGCCATCTTGTTTATGAATAATCAGCTGGCACTCAAGCCATAAGTTAAGCCTCCATGTATCAGTGATCTTCTCGAGTTGCAAGTATTTAATTGGAGCTGTATTCTTTACCTGTTATGAATATTATTGCTAACTAGGAGGCTTCGCCTCCTGCTCGCTGGCGCTCACCAACCCCCGGAACTGCTTTCGCAGTTCATTTCGAATTGCTTCGCAATCCAATGCTCGCTTTGCTCGCTCATTGAATACGTTCTTAACGTCTAGTTTTTGTATACTTTTTTGAATACTGAAGTTCCGAAAACTTTTCACTGTAGAAAATTCTAAACCTGTACATTTCAATATTAATTTGAAATTGCAAACAGTTCACATATTTTTCTTAATCACACTATTCTAAATTTCAGTTGTTGAGAAAAGTAACTGTTGTAAGTTTTGTTTTAAAGTCTTTCCCACCAGAGGGCTAAAGCCATGTGTTGTAAAACAATATGAAATAGTAGTCTGCCACTGAACGCCGGATGTAAAGCATCGGCTTTGATGAAGATAATTTTGTATTTTTAATTCTCTGAAGGGCGCCACCTTAATAATATGGAATTTGTAAAATAAATGTATATATTTTTGATTGTTGATGAAGCCCATCATTTTGTGTTTTCATCAGTGTTCAGAAGCAGAACAACTATAAGTTTTTTATTTTATCACAAAAATATAAAATGTATAAAAAACAAAGAAAAGAGTAAGAAAATGAGTATAGTCATAGAAAAAGTTAAAATTATAATATAGTATTTGTCAGTTAAAATAAAACTTTTTGTTTAAGTCATTGCTAACAATTCAAATTTCTCCGAGGCAATTCTAAAGTATAAATTAAGGTAGTATTGTTAAGTTGAAACACAATATTTTTAGTTTTGATGTCAACAATACAATTCAATTTTTCACAAAAACGATTGTTTCCATTGTTAAGTTCAATGTCAACAATTCAAATTTTTCTGAGGCAACTCTTAACCTCTAAATATTATTTTTTTTATGTACACATTTCTAAATGTCAGTATTCAACCACAAAACAACTTAAAGTCCTCAAATTTAGCATGAAGTTGTAAAATGTAATGAAAGAGGGTCATAGCAATAATGAAAGTAGAAGTAAAGTTAGTACTGTAAAATTAAAACAATATTTTTAATCAATGAGCCAAGTTCTTCAAGAAGCAGTTGTAGAAGTAGGTTGTTTATTTAAAACTTTTTATAGAATTTCTTTAAGAACACAATTGTTAATTTGGGCATTTGGCGATACAACACTTTTAGAATTGAAGGATTTGTTACGTCAAGCGCTCAGGTATCATAATTTTGATCTAGTTGCGCTTCTATGTCATTTTGATTTATGTTGCTAAGTTAACTTTCAAAAAATTCTATGGCTGGCAACAGCATTTTTATTTTTTAAGTTGTTTATTTTTATTTCTTTTAGAATTCGTTATTTTTTTAGCGAAATGTTTTTTAACCTAACAGAATTCTTTGCCGACTGTTTTCTCTATGAATGAAGAAAATAAAGTAAATATTTAACTGTTGTGAAAAGAATCTTATTTAGTTGTACAAAGTACTTCAGCCAAAATTTGGGAGCCACGTAAGAGAATTATATATATTAGATCAGAAACACATCATTAAAAGGCAGAATGCTTTGGTGTTTTCAAAACAAAGCAAACGTTGCCACCGGCGGAAAAGAAATACAGCCAAAATTTGGGAGCCACGTAAGAGAATTATATATAATAGATATTGTTGATATATTCTGTTACCTGTTACTGTGTTCTGTAACTTTTTAGAAGGCTATATAATGATGTAGGTTTTCACCAAACTTTTTGAAATCAAAATAATTTA